TAGTAGAAGGATGTGTAAGTAATGGTGAAGAAGATAAGACAGAATCCTCCTCATTGTCGCCAAATGTCGTGCAGATTATGCGCCATAGGCATGCATGCACACTCACAAAGCAACTGCAGGGTTTCCAATAGGGTATAGCATAAGAAAGGAGCCGTCCATGTAAGCAAGAGCGTGCTGATTTGGATGATGACATGGAATAGGCATCCATGTCGGCATGCTGACATCAGTATGCCACGCCAGCATGCCACGCCAGCATGCCACATCAGCATGCCACGTCAGCATTCACTTGAGCCTCTGCAACTGCATCCATGTCAGCATGCTGCATCAGCATGAGACGTCAGCATCCATGTCTACATCCTTGCTGGCATCCACATCAGCATCCATGGCAGTTGAGTCATCTGGACATGGAAGTGGGGACCACAGATGCTGACGTGGATGTTGTCTCAGGTGCTGATGGCATTCCCTCACCGTGAACACGTTGCATGTGCATCTACTTGTATATATATACGTCTATATGCAGGATTTAGGCTCCTGACCAGTCCGTGAAACTCTGACGAAACAGTCTGTCTGTCACAGCCCCTCGTTTGTTGTCCTCCTCTTCTCCCTCCCTGCGTACGGTTTACCGGGCAGCTCTGTTCGATGATATATATATATATATATATATATATATAGCATCCACAATCATTTCAATGACTTGGCTAATGATGTATCTTTCTTCCAAACTCAGCGCTGGCCAATGTTGAGTTTTCATAAGTTGAATGAGTCGGTGAAACTCCGACGAAACAGTTTGTCACAGCCCCTCGTTTGTTGTCCTCTTCTCCCTCTCTGCCTACCGTTTACCGTAGGCAGTTCTATTTTACGATATATATATATATATATATGTTTCCCCGGGAGGTTCTATGTGAATATATATAAAAGTATAGATATATATATTCGCTTGGGACCGTGGGGGTGTTATCTGACTTTCGGGTGGGACCGTGGGGGTGTTATCTGACTTTCGGGTGGAACCGTGGGGGTGTTAGCTGACTTTCTGAGTCCCCCCCCGGGGGGAGCCTTTCTGGAAAATAATAGGCGAAAAGTTTGAAAAAAGAAAAACAAAAGGGTGTGGGCATGTCAAGTACAGCAGCACAGCTGTGCCTTTATTTCATGATGAACGAGATGTAGGGGCTTTAGAGAGGGGGGGGGGGGGTATATTGGGGCTATTGAATCGTGTTGATAGACTTTCCAGAGGTTTAGAGGGGGGCTTTAGAGGGGGGTCTTGCGATCCAGATTCGACAGGTAATTAAATTTGTTGGGCTGAAAAGAATTAGCCTTACCACTGCTGCTAAGCCTATACAGAGGACCCGTGCAAGCAATAGCTATTAGCTACCTCTCACAATTAAGGGGATGCGTGCATGTTGCCCCCCTCATGCTAATCGGCGGTGGTCAGGGAGTAGGGTGGGGCGGCGGGTGGGAGGGGGGCCGGCTTCTTTTTTTTTTTTTTTTTAGGGGTGCTGGTAGGAGCAGACACCTCTAATGCAAAGACAGGGCATTTCGCCAGTAGCTGCGCCTCCCATCTTCTTCCCCTGCCGCCCATCGAGCAGCAGTAGTGGCTATGGCCAACACTCCCACACACCACACACAACCCCCACATGCTCACATTCACCCCTGTCCGTGTTGGTCATAGACCCTACTAAAATATCACAGCCGGGTTGGCACTAAGTTCCACTGCAGACGGTCACGAGGTTTGCACCCACAACCTCCTGAATGCCACTGGGGGGCCGTTTAATTGATTCAACTTAAATACCTTCTTTCGATTCCGCTAGGAATTTCCCTTTTTCGGCCGAATCTGACCGCAGTTTTAGCCAGATTCAGTCAAGGATGTCGAAGTCTTAGTAGATGCTCTGATTCATCCGTGCGAAGAGCACTTGGGCAGGCGGAATTTCGCTTTTTCGGCCGAATCTGACCGCAGTTTTAGCCAGATTCAGTCAAGGATGTCGAAGTCGTAATAGATGCTCTGATTCATACCTGTGAAGAGCACTTGGGCAGCATAATGTTCTCACTGTATGTCGTCGAAGGGCGGCCTTGAGGGTGGCGATTTTCTCAGTGTGAAGAGCTCTTGGAGGCGCGCACTGGTGCTGCCGTTGTTGTGCAGAAAAAGAGCGGCAATTTTTTCACAGTCTGAAACTTCCGAAGGCATTGCGGCTGTGTTGTTTGTGCGTGCAGAGAGCAAATTTTCGCAGTTTGATTTCACAGGTCGGGGGCTGTTGTTGCGCGTGCAGGAAGTGGTGGCGACTTCACAGCTCGAAACGAAACTCTTGGTCTGAGGCAGACTGGTGCTCGGCTGTCGGTGTTGCAGAACGAGGGGAGTTCACACTAACTGTTATGGGACAGACAGAGAAGGCTTTCAAAACTTTCACAGTTCAGTTGCTGCTGCCGCGATTGGTGCCCAGAAAGCGGTGACGTCAAAGCTCTGCGGCGGAGAGAGAAGTCGGCTCGATGCGGATGGGGGTCGGGGATATGACGTGATGAATAAGTGTTGGGCACTTGTGCAATCGTTTCTTATTTTTCTGGGATGCTGAACGGACGAATGCCTGGGATAGGTCAGGCAGTCTGTGTGGACGGAGGCACAGCATTGCAAGCGGTATGACGAACCAATGCCTGGGCTAGGTCAGGTGGTCTCAGACTGCATGGACGGAGGGACAACATGGCGGGTGGTCTGACGGGCGAATGCCTGGGCTAGGTCAGGCGGTCTGCTTGGACGGAGGCGGCACAACATGGCAGGAGGGGAAGAGGAAGCTAGGGATGGGGGAGAGGAGAGAAGAGGGAAGGTTACACGGTGTGTGTGTGTGGCGTGATAATCGAATGCCGCTGCGACTTTATAAACTTGCTCTCGCTACTTCAGCTTTTTTTTTTTTTTTTAGCTATAAAATTCTGTATCTTCGCATCTT